TGCTAACCTTTGTTTAATGTCACGCAGTATTGGTTTTGGCCACGATCAGCTTGTCAGTCACCTGTGAAGCTCAGCTGGTGTCAGAGGTGCTGTTTATATCAGTAAGAGGAAACTGGAGTTCAGTTCTCCTAAATCAGTAGAAGAATATTCGTGTTTTTATTAAATATGTTGGCGGAGGTTTGCTCCGAGCTGCTCAGAAACAGAGTCGCTGAATCTCCAGATAATCCGCTCAAAATGAACCAGCCCTTCATGAAAGCCCTCTGAGTCTCTGAGCTCACTTCATACTCACATGTTGCACCCCTGAAGAGACGGGAGACTCTTCATCATACATGATGATGACACGAGTTTGTGTTGTTGACACTGATCACTCTGACATTTACAGTTCCCATTAATCTGTCTTCATCTATATTGATTTAAAATGTCAGTGTTTAAATGCCAAACAGTGTCTGACATCAGAAATCACTCAGAACCGTCGGCTCTCTGAGCTTCGCTGGGACTTCCAGCTCTCTGTTACTGTGCTTCCCTCAGAGGGGCTGTAATGTTACCAGCAGTGCTGGGTGCAACGCATTACTGTAACCACATTACATTTTTCAGTAACGTGATATAGTTACAATTATGTAGTTACTTGCATTATAAAAGTTCTTTGGTTATCTGCACGCTGGGTCGATAGACACAGAAATTCTTTTCTTCCTGCTACAATCAGCTGATTTCAGTTCATGTGCATGAAGAATGAAGAGTGTTACAGCTTTAGCGTTGTTTGTATTGTGCAGACGGAGAAGAGCGAGATAGTAAAGTGCAAACGGCCTCAGAACAGAAAAAGCTGCTTTATACTGCTAACATCTGCACAGACAGCTTGCTAACACTAAGCTAGCCAAGCAGACTCCAGCCCAGCAGCCAGAGCCTGAGCTTACACAGCCTGTGGTGATGATGATGATGATGATGATGATGATGATGCGGCCTGTTTCTACCTGTTCAGGTTTCTACAGTAAAATCACCATGGCAACCGCTCTGAAGTCAAAGAAAAAACAAAGAGAAGTACAAATGAAGTTAGTCAAAAACACCGACGTTCGGTAAGAGCGAAGTGTAAATTGCATTAATAAGTAATATGTATGTACTGTGGCAGTATTTGACTGAAATGCAGAATCCGTGCGTATCAGCAGCTGACTGTCATGTGTCTGCGAGACGTAGCGGCGTGAACAGACGTCTCCTCTGTCCCACGCTCGGGTTGGTCTCATGTTCAAATGTCAGCACTGCAGGGCAAACTTTGTTTTCCACTCTGGCTTTGATTCAACGGCTGTGATGGAAACAGAGAGGGCAGCCATTACGAGTGAGCACATGACCCCGTGTAACGTGTTAAACCCGCCATGGAGTCACAAGCTGTGCAGATGACAGAAGCTTCCACAAAGACCGAGGAACGAATTCTGAGCATGCAAACACTGCAAAGCGTCTCTGTCTTCAGTTATTATTGTTGCTGTAGCAGACGGAGGGACACAAACTGACGTGGAAGCCTCACAAACTGTTCTGGCCTCTGCAGATAATTTCACCTTCATGACAGCTGTACGAGGGGAGAATGTTTGTATATGTCACCTGTATGCATCATTATGGGCGTGGCCTCCTTGCCTGACAGGTGGCTGTAAGGCAAGGCGAGTTTATTTATATAGCACAATTCAACAGCAAGGTGATTCAAAGTGCTTTACAGAGACATTAAAGAACAGAAACAAATAAAAAGCATGATTTAAATTTTAACCTTAAAAGTAAAACAGTGCAGATTTGGTGCTTTATTCAAATGCAGCTGAGAACAGGTGAGTCTTCAACCTGGATTTAAACAAACTGAGTGTTTCAGCTGATCTGAGGCTTTCTGGGAGTTTGTTGCAGATATAAGGAGCATAAAAGCTGAATGCAGCTTCTCCAGCTGCTTGCTGTTTGCTAACATGACATCATGTGACCAATAACATGGCTGCTGTGAGGTCAAACAGACCAAGAAGAAGAAATTCAGGGTTTTGTTTGGATGTTACTGAGCACTGATTCATACTCCATCTTTGTGTGTGTCTGTGTGTGTGTGTGTCCACTCATATTCTGTTTCCAGTGTGTCACTGCAGCTAAACAAAGCACTTTTTCTATTTTACACAACTAAAAACACACACACTGACCCGTGGATGATCCCAGACCATTGTGTGTTTCTCTTCTTCAGCTGAATCCCGATTGGCTGAAGTTTTCAGGTGGCAGTCAGTGTGCGTGATGGATGAGCGGCAGAGGAGGAGACGAGACCACGTCTCAGTGTCTTCAGATGCCCTGGAGTCGTTTGAGTTTGGATTCAGATCTGTTAGAAGCAGAAACACGATGCTGAGGAGTCCCTCACTTACAGAGCTCTTCCAACATTTCATGTTTTGTTCTGTGGCGAGGAGCCGAGGCAGAGGTGGTTAAAAATCGATCTAGGAGGAACCCAGATATTCGGTCACGCTGAACTGTTTACGCGAGGTTTTGGTTGGTGGTTAAAATCCCTGCATGGCGTGAAGCTGACCGGGAGACGGCTCCTATAATTCAGGGGGTGTGTCCATCAAAGCCTTGCGTTTGAGTCTTTCGCCTTCCTTTCATGATTACTCAGACGTCGTCTGATGACATCAAATCAAATCAAATCACTTTTATTGTCACATCACATGTGCAGGCACACTGGCACAGCACATGTGAGTGAAATTCTTGTGTGCGAGCCCCACAAGCAACAGAGATGTGCAAACACAACAACACAAACGAGCAAAATACAAGAATGGCCAACCTGAAACTAATAAATATATGTACAATATATAATAGTGTATGCATTTCTGGATGTGTATACTAAATATTTTCCTACGTGTGTGTGTGTGTGTGTGTGTGTGTGTGTGTGTGTGTGTGTGTGTGTGTGTGTATACACATTTTTACAAATTAAATAGTAAAAATAAATAAATTAATAATAATAATAATAATAATAATAAAATATATAAAAATATACAGAGTTGAATATGTGCAAAACAGTGGCATTACTGTACAGTATGGAGTGCATAATGTTGAAGTTCCAGTAGTGAAGCTGAGGTGTCTATGACGTGTTCAGCAGTCTGATGGCCTGGTGGAAGAAGCTGTCTCTCAGTCTGCTGGTACGGGACCGGATGCTGCAGAACCTCCTTCCTGATGGAAGCAGTCTGAACAGTTTATGGCTGGGGTGACTGGAGTCCTTGATGATCCTCCCCGCTTTCCTCAGGCAGCGCTTCCTGTAGATGTCTTGGAGGGAGGGAAGCTCACCTCCAATTATCCGTTCAGAGCACCGCACTACTCGCTGGAGAGCTTTGCAGTTGTAGGCGGTGCTGTTGCCATACCAGGTGGTGATGCATCCAGTGAGGATGCTCTCAATGGCACAGTGATAGAAGGTCCTGAGGATGCGGGGGCTCATGCCGAATCTTTTCAGTCTCCTGAGAAAGAAGAGGCGCTGCTGCGCCTTCTTCCCTGTTTTGTTTGTGTGTACTGACCACGTAAGATCCTCAGCCAGATGTACTCCAAGGAACCGGAAGCTGCTCACTCTCTCCACAGCAGCGCCGTTGATGGTGATGGGGGTGTGTACTTCTCTGCACCTCCGGAAGTCCACTATCAACTCCTTTGTCTTTGCGACGTTGAGGGTGAGATGGTTGTCTTGACACCAGTGGGTCAGGGCGCTGACCTCCTCCCTGTAAGCCGTCTCATCACCGTTGGTGATAAGACCCACCACTGTAGTGTCGTCCGCAAACTTCACAATGATGTTGGAGTTGTTAGTGGCCGTGCAGTCGTAGGTGTAGAGTGAGTACAGGAGAGGGCTCAGTACACACCCCTGTGGAGCACCAGTGTTCAGTGTGATGGGGGATGAGGTGATGCTGCCCAGTCTGACCACCTGGCGTCTGTCAGACAGGAAGCTAAGGATCCAGCTGCAGAGGGAGCTGCTCAGTCCTAGATCCTGCAGTTTCCTGTCCAGCTTCGAGGGAACGATGGTATTGAATGCTGAGCTGTAATCTACAAACAGCATCCTCACATACGTGTCTCTCTTCTCCAGGTGTGACAGGGCAGTGTGTAGTGTCAGGGCTATGGCATCATCAGTGGACCTGTTGTGGCGGTATGCAAACTGTAGAGGGTCCAGTGAGTCGGGTAGTGCAGAGCAGATGAAGTCCCAGCTTCTCGAAGCATTTGCTTACGATGGGGGTCAGGGCTACAGGTCGCCAGTCGTTCAATGAGGAGATGGTGGAGGATTTGGGTACAGGGACGATGGTGGCCATTTTGAAGCAGGCTGGGACTACAGACAGAGAGAGGGAAAGGTTGAAGATGTGGTGAACACTCCAGCCAGCTGAGCCGCGCATGACTTGAGGACGCGGCCGGGAATCCCGTCCGGACCAGTAGCTTTGCGTGCGTTCACCTTCCTGAAGCACTTCCGCACATCCTCCTCAGACACAGTGTGCGCACTGACGTCATCCGCGGTGCGCACACTGTCCGGTCTCATGGTGTTCGCTGTGTCGAATCTAGCGTAGAATACGTTTAGATCCTCACACAGAGAGGCCGTGGTCTGCGGTGTGCTGGTTTTCCCTCTAAAGTCTGTGATCGTGTTTAGTCCCTGCCACATACTCCGAGGGTTGTCAAACTGTTGCTCCACCCTGTCCCTGTACTCACGTTTGGCTGCTTTGATCGTCTTCCGGAGTTGGTAATGTGCGTGTTTGTAGTCCGATGTGTTCGCGGAGGCAAAGGCGGTGTTCCGTTCCGCCAGTGACATCATAATACTACAGGGCCCTAACAGCTGAGCAGCAGCTGTGTGAGTCTGCAGAGTCAGGCAGGTTAGAACACAGCCTATTAAAGAGCCTACATTTCCCACAGTGCACCTGTCCTTCGCGAGGCTGTTTCTGTATCAGCCAAAACTCTGAGTCAGAAAACAAGAACACAAGCTGAGACTGACGGTCTTTGTTCTCTCTCTCTCTCTCTCTCTGTCCTGCTGTGTGTGACTGTCTCTCGCCCAG